AACAAACTGCCTGTGCCCTCTGGGATGGAAGTTATGTAGACTCTAGCATTGCACTGTTACAGGCTGGCAAGACTGGTTGAGAGACGGGACATAATGCAGCATTATGCTTGAGCTAACATAATCACAGCGCCTACTCCAGAGCAGTGTGACATTTGGCTAGCTCAGGACGCTGGCAGAGCAAGCTTGAGTTTGCTAGACAGACTGTGTAGACATACCCTCACATACCTAAAGATCTTGTTCTTCCTTAGAGTCAGTTTTGCTCTAGTAACCTGTATTCCTTTGATTATGCATTCTGGGACTCTTCTCTGGGTTTTTTTGCCTCAGAGTTTAAATATATGGAATTTTTTTTCCACACAGGTCTGACTAAATTCTGAAAACCCAGATTTTCAGACACATTCTTTTAATTTAAGCAAACTGTCAGTCAGTTTTTAAACAACTCGCAGGACTTGCCATACACAGACAGGATATAAAGTTGAGTACAAACAGTTCCCTACAATCTGTGACACTTGCATCCCCTAATTTAGGAATGAGAAAATAAAGTACACTTCCTTTCAATAGCACTGCAGACTGTTGTACGCAGCTAACTGAAAACACAGCAATGAAAGGCTGAAAACGGGCACTGAACCATTGCAATGAAATGCCATTTACAAAACAAGAGCAAACAATGCCAACATTGAAAGAGGGACTACATGGAAAAGGAAGTTCTAGAAGTCAACAGCTCTGACATTCACTGCATTCTTTCATGCATGCAGACAATTTTATAACCCAGATAATTAAGCAGAGGAGCACATTTATTGTTTAAAAGGCCAGTATCATTGCTTTCTATGCAATATTTATGAGAGGTCTCACTGGCAGGGAGTATGGCATAAATTTCAGGCAGACAGCAAATGCCTACTTTTGTAAGTGTTTAAAGAAACATAGTTCTAAATTTTAATTTCTTTCAAGTTTTTATAAAATTTTTAATGAGCTCTTTGCTACTATCAGATGTAGTTTTCTATAAATTTAGTCTTTACATTTCAATTAAGGTTTAACTATAACAGAATTAAGTACATGACATTATTTTTTTTTCTAGTGAGATCTGTGCACAAGACCTAGACCAGGATACAGTTCTCGTAGCTGACCCCAGAACAGACTACATCAACATAAAAATAGGTGAATACAAAGCCCTCATTAGCTCTGTGTTGGTTGTGGGTCCAATTAGTTTAAATCTTCATGTTGAAAACAAGACTGATGGAAGTGTGCATGCTTACCAGCAACTGGCTGACAGGGTACCTATCCAAGTATAAATTGGAAAAAAAGTAACAAGCAAACCCAGCGAGCACCAGTATTTTGGTTTTTAGGGCACTAGCTGTATTTGCAGCTTTTAAGGAGGCTCTCAGTGATTTAACTATTCCTGAGATCTGTGAGAAAGTGAAAAACTGTTTATATGTAGCAGGGGGCTTAACCTCCAAGGATAGATGAACTCTCATTAGGACCTCAACCAATTTGAGGACAGCATGTACTTCAACATCAGTAAAAATGCTGAAAGAACTAGGAGTAAGTACAACTCTCCTCAAGGAGAGTCTGGGAAGAAAAAAAAAAAACTTAAGCAGGTTTGTCCTTCCCTGTTACATGAAAATGAAGTGTCAAAATGAACATCAGAAAAATGAAACAGCTCACACCAAAATGGATGTATGTTGATAACTTGCACTGTTATCTAAACAGAAAGACTCCATATTGCTTCCTAAGAAATATTCTCAAGAGGAATTCAACAGCGGGAATACATTTATTTAATATTAATTTCATTCAGAAGTGTTTATCATTTTATTGTAACTGAAGAAAATTAGCTATGCACAAAAATCAGTTTGTAACAGTTCACCCCAACATCAAATCAACTTCAAATTCCCTTCTATTAAGGCATACACTTCTGTACTTCCCACCAATAGGGAATCCTAGCATTAGTGAACATATAATTATTTTAAAGTCATTCAGTGAAGCAGGCTTACCCATGAAGAGAATGCAAAGGACTATTTGAAATATAGCATTACAGAAAGACCCCATTATTTGGTTTATAAAAAATAGAATAGTTTCCTAAGTAAATATGTTTTTACCTCATATGAACAAAGTATTAAAATTATAAAATTGCTAAATCTTTAACCTTCTAAAGTTAGACAAGAAGTCTTTGGTGTTTGCCCAAAACTCTCACAGGCAAATGACATCCTGAATTCTTTAATCCAAACAGCAAAAAGAATTTTTTATGTTTTCACATGTTTTAAAAAGACTCAGGCTAAATTTTAGTAACAGTGTATTTCAGCAAATTAAAGGCTTATAAGCATTAATAACATTTGAGACTGCACAAAAAAGTCCTTTTCTTTATTAAAGACAGGAATTGGAACTTAAACAGTTTCAGGAGCTGTAGCACAGCTTCAATAATGTGGAAAATCTTAAACCCAGGCATTTTTGAGACAGAGTCACATGAAGTTAGGAAAAAATTCTATGCAGTGCAGATTAATGTTATCTCCATTTAGAATAGAGAACGGGTACAAACCTGTCTTCTTCGGCCACAAGCCAAAGCATCTCCATGTTTTTCCACATTTTGCAAGCTGTTCAGACCTAAAACACAGTTAATATACATCCAGACAAATGAGGACTCAACATTAAGACAGCAGTTTTGCATTCTACCATTTACATGAGACAAGAATGTACATGATTTTGCTATGCTTTGACAGACTAGGAAAATTTCAGTGTGTGTTTATATATGAATATACTTTTATATATGCATACACATGAATCTCACCTTAGTCCAAGGACTCAAAAAATAGGCTGTTCGAAAAAGTCACTATATTTTCTATGCGATAGAGCTCATAGAAGTATTATATTTTAAACGATTACCTAAAAATTCGTACATAATAAAGAAACATTGTTATTTCATTTTGGTAAAAACATTTTTACTATATATACTGCTCATTTACATACATAGAGAGAATGGAAACTAGCCAGCAGAGCTATGATACTTTGTATTCAGGTTCCATCATTTCCACAGAACCCCTGTCAGGTTCTAACTGTGGCAAGCATCCAAGGCATCTTAAGAGTTTGTCCTTCTAAGTACAACATGGCCACATGCAGAGGCTATATAATATCATCTCTTTGTGGTAAGAGGGTGCTAAAGGTTTTCAGAACCTACTTATAAATATTATGTAACCCATGTTGTAAGTTTTAAAAAAGTAATACCAGAAAGATGCACAAACATCCTAACCGTGCATTTTACACTACAATTTGTTTTTTCCAGTCAGCCAACCTCTTTAGTTCCTTCACCCGTGCTTGTTTTGGCTGGGGTAGAGTTAATTTTCTTCACAGTAGCTAGTATGGGGCTATGTTTTGAATTTGTGCTGGAAACAGTGTTGATAACACAGGGATGTTTTCATTACTGCTGAGCAGAGCTGACACAGAGCCAAGGCCTTTTCTGCTTCTCACACCACCCCACCAGCAAGGAGGCTGGGGGTGCACAAGAAGTTGGGAGGGGACACAGCCGGGACAGCTGACCCCAACTGGCCAAAGGGATATTCCATACCGTATGATGTCTGTATGGAATATTGGTCCTCCCAGCATATAAAGCTAGGGAAAGAAGAAGGAAGGGGGGGATGTTCGGAGTGATGGTGCTTGTCTTCCCAAGTAACCGTTCAGCATGACGGAGCCCTGCTTTCCTGGAGATGGCTGAACACCTGCCTGCCAATGGGAAGGAGTTACCTATTAAACTGTCTTTATCTCAACCCACATGTTTTCTCACTCTTACCCTTCTGATTCTCTCCTCCATCCCACCGGGGGGGAGAGAGCGAGCAGCTGTGTGCTTAGCTGCCGGCTGGGGTTAAACCATGACACCCACAAAGTTATCTATGTCAGAAGTCAAAGAGACAAGTTTCAGTACTCCTCTGGCAGCTTTCTTTTGCTTTACTGGGATTTATGGCATTCTGTGCAAACGAGTAAAACAAAACTCCAAGCAAACCAGAAAATAGTGAATGATTTTACAAAATGAGTTGCCAGAAAACCTTAAGCCATTTCATAGTTTCCCAAATGTGGCAAGCACCAAATCTGCATTTGGGCAGAAACCACCCGTAACAATTGGGAGAGGTTTTGTTTTGTTTTCACCATAATAATTTTTCTATTAATGCAATCACATTGGATAGCAGTTATCAAATCACCAACACATTTATTGCAGGGGAGTGGGGGGTGGGTGGGGAGAAAGTGTTTGACATGACTTTGTTTTGAAAGTGTGAAAGTAAGCTAATACTCACTCTGAGGAACACTGCTCACTCTGCATTTCCGTCCTGAGTGAGGCCTGCAAGGAACACAGAATGGAAGTAGAAATACACAGAACGTCATGAAATGTCTATGACCAAGAGCAACAACAAAAAATAATTTTTACCTTACTGTGGAATTTTTTATGTCTCCGGGTGACTGACTTGTAATACTCTGTTGCTCTTTCATTGATCTTTAAAAAAAAAGAAAAAAAATCATTTCCTAAGCAGCAACTTACCATTTATGTGATTCAACAATATTTGAATCAAAGAAAATCCCAAGATTTCTCTACAGAAACAGTGGCATACAAACACTAACTGCTTCAATCCATTAACCCTTTTAATCTTGCCTCCCTATACCTGGAGGAGAAATACACAAGACATTACACGTTTAAGTTGAAGACATGCGGCATTTCACACATCTATTTTTTCATACCTTCTTCACAATCTAGGAATTGTTTCCATAGGTTTTTTGATCAAGTCTTTCATCATACCTCTCAGATGTAATTGTGTCAGGAGCTGTCCTTCTCAAAAAGGAAATCTTATGACTTGCCCTCTTGTATAGTCTATCTGCATCAGTCAATTTCCTTAACTAAATGATGCCAAGTACTCCAGGTATAAAACTGCACAAATACAAGCTCTATCCCAACTAAAGACTACAATTTCTTCTCCATGAAAAATAAGTGGTGATAAACCTAGAAAATTAGTATTTTTCAAAATAAAGTCAAAGGAGGGGGAAGGAACTAGACTTCAAGTTCCCCCAGCATTTCTTTGAAAAGTGTGTAATTGTTTTGAGGGTTCACATTGCCAGAATCATGAAGCAACATAACTATTTCCCATCACACTAGTATTACTAAGTAAGAGAATCTTGTGTTTAGCTGTAAGGAAAAAGTAATAGACTAATTCCCTTTCCTTATCCCCCTTCTTCTCCAGATGACCTATAGCCTGAAATTAGGAGGGCAGGACTAAAAGGAGCTCAATCAAGCATAAAGAAAAAAGTATGAAGTATTGCTGTGTTTTTATTGTTATACAAGAATGACAGCTGTTTAAACTGAAAAATGTGCATCTTCAACAAGTACTTAAACTTAATGCCAAGCTATTTGATATAAATGCCAAAAGTAACAACTATAGAAAAGCCCAAACTTAAAAATAGAGAATGTGCTTGCAGTTTATTTTCTATTGGACAGCAGTTTGGAATTTAATGTCCTTCCTTCTACCTACTCTTAGTTCTACAAGTTTCAAGTTATTGTCTGAGCATGTCCCTCAGCAGTATAACGCTTAATACAAACCTTTGTTTTGTTTCCAAATTCCTTTTGTCATTTTCATTGACATTCACAGTTTTGTTTTGCAATGCTGTTGCTCCCAATCCTTTAGACTCTACCTGTTTTGTGGCTGCCTGCGAGAAATGGAATTGATACTTTAAAATTAAAGCCAGCCAGTACCTAGATAGTAGTTTACACTAAGATTAATATGTGTACCCTCTACTAGGACTAACAGAGTGCTTATTTCACAGACCCTTCAGAGGCATTACCGTTAAGTAGTTTCAAAACCACTGTAGTGTGTTAAGTTGAAATCCATCAAGATCTTTATCAGCTAATAACTCAGAGACATTTTAGTCATAGCCACAAGCGATATTTGTATGGACACACAGAAATATAATGAATACTCACATGGTAAGTGAACGTATAGCTGTGTGAAATACATTGCAGAGATTAACTTTAAGTCTACAAATACTATCAAAGTACTCCAAAGTCTATTTTTTATAATTAGATTAGAAACTGAAACCTGATAGGCCTCTTAAGTTCATCTAGTTCTGCAGCGCATGGCAGGATCAAACATACCTATAACACTTTCAAAAGACACATGTCTAATCAGACTTTAGGCTTGTAATGTAACGTTTCCTGTATTAGCAAAAGAATTTTGTAACATCCTGCCTAAACTTTTAGCCACAAACTAAGATTATTTCTCCTCCATTCTCAAGAGGAGGAAGGCTAGTTCATTACTCTTTATAGAATGTCCACAGGATTGTAAGATTTGTGCTTTCCCCTAGATTCCTCTCACTTACTTGCTATAATAAATAACACAAAAAAAAAAAAATCACTTAGTCCACATGAGGCCATTCTTGCCACTTTGCTATCAACTTTCTTCTCTAGCATCTTAAGGTATACTTTGCCCAAACCATAAAAAAAGAAATCCTGGTTGTGCACCCTCATTACTAAGCAGAGCCAACCATCTTCTACCCAACACTGTCTATACATCCCAAAAGGTGATCTGTTTTGCAACACTCAAATATCAAAACGATTGAAAGTTGACAGATTCACTACAGGCCCAGTATTAATTCTTTTTCTGATTAGCCAGTTGCTCCCACTTTTCATCTATTTCTTCTTTCAGGGCTTGCTTTTGCCTCCTGTAATTTTCTGTCATCCATCCAATTTTCAGTCTTCTTGCAATCTTAACCTGTCCTTCACAGTAGCTTGCAGAATCTCTCAACATTTACGAAAGTCAGATAATATAAAAACATTCTCTATTTCACTCATTCATCTATGAAAATACTGGAAGGTATTCTCGTCACAGAATACTTCCAATCACAGAAGAAAATGTTTCACTGTCAGAAATTTCATAACTACCTAAACTACCACATCTTTCAACTGTAAGTTTTCAAAATACTGGCTCTTTTACAGTGGTTGATGGTAGCAAAACACATGTGAAAGCGAGGACGTGTTTCCATACAGATAAATGGGTAGAAAGGATTTTGTTAAAAAAAGTTTAAATCCACTATATTGTATTTTAAAGTTAACTAGCTTTCAAATTGTACTTGTCCCTAAAAATAATTCTTTTGAAAGAGAAGTGAAAGTTATAAAGAAAAATTAGCAAGTATTCAGATCAATGCTTTCTTGGTATAGGTCCTTTTTCCTTGTAATGCATTATCTGCAGACTGTTCTTAGGGCAGCTAACCTATAAGCGTTTCTTGAAGTGCAAGAACTTCATCAACAGTAGGACCTGTGATCTTGGAGATTCCAAGCTTGACAATAACCTAGAAAAAGCAGCCTACAAGACAGTCTAGCAATGTAGTAATCCTTATGATTAAGGATGAAAAGCTGGACATGAGCCAGCAATGTGCGCTCTCAGCCCAGAAGGCCAACCGTATCCTGGGCTACATCAAAAGAAGCATGGCCAGCAGGTCAAGGGAGGTGATGCTGCCCCTCTGCTCTGGCGAGACCCCACCTGGAGTACTGTGTCCAGCTCTGGGGCCCCCAGCACAGGAAAGACATGGACCTGTTGGAGCCGTATCCTGGCTACATCAAAAGAAGCATGGCCAGCAGGTCAAGGGAGGTGATGCTGCCCCTCTGCTCTGGCGAGACCCCACCTGGAGTACTGTGTCCAGCTCTGGGGCAGAAACGTTCAAGGTCAGGTTGGATGGGGCTCTGAGCAACCTGATCTAGTTGAAGATGTCCCTGCTCATTGCAGGGGGGTTGGATTAGATGATCTTTAAAGGTCCCTTCCAACCCAAACTATTCTATGATTCTATGATTATACTTCTACATATGGCACCAGAAGAAAGAAGAGAGATTAACAGTTAAAGTTAGATTGTTTTTCTGTAGAGAACGCACGGTACACTGCCGGGAAACAGTTATGTGTATTGCACAGCAGATGTGGGAATTCTTCACAAAGTTGACTCCTCCATGTCCCAGAGTAACTCGGTCCAAAGTAAAGATTTCAGAAGTAAGATTTGCAACATTGGTGCAGACAGTAGGATGGATGTGCAGGCAGTGGGGGTGCAACACAGAGGGCCTAGGTATGCTAGTATGGCGTTCTGGGCCTTCCCTGACACCTCCAAACCTCCATCTCCTCTTAGACTCAAAGAAATAGCCTTGAAAAATAAACTTGAAAACTGACAGCTGAGTGAAGCCATTAAAAGATATTCCTTGTATTATACTTTGAATGCATTTAATAAGTTCTCTAGTCTCTCTTTCTGGTAAGAAATGAAAACCCCAGAGGAACTTCAGGTTTGTTTATTCAAAATTTGCTTCTTATTACCTTTAGATGTTTGTGCTTTTGTAATTGAGTAATTCAATATTCTTTTATAGGAAGTAAACATAAGGGAAATTCTTTACAATCCTCCTGAAGATGAACTGCACGGGGAATGTTGTTCTTGCCAATTTTAAATCACTTTGAGCAAGATGGTTTGTAAGGAGCTTTTTTTTTTTTTATTTACAGGAAAACAGCAATAATAGTTTTTTTATCTCCTAACTCCTCTGACATTCCTGAAGCTTTTAGCCAAATTACCAGGTCTTGATCTTTTAGTTTTACTATGAGAAGTCACATCAATTTAAACAAAATGAACGAAGTCACATAGATTTAAACAAAATGAACATTAAATATATAGTTACATTATCTTTTAAGGAGTCTCAGATCAGAACTGCTTCTCTTAAACATACACTAATGACAGACCTCATTTTAATTATGCTTTTTTCCTAACTATTTTTCTCATCAAAACAGTTGTGTTGAGGAAAAAAAATTCACAAAAGATAGTTTAGAGAAGTCTTACTCCTACTAACTTTCTTCTAAACATATATTCAACCTTTTTTTTTAAAGACAATCCAAAGGAACATAAAGCTTCCTTTTCATCTAATACAATAACTGAACATTGTCTGAACAACTCCCTTGAAAGTATAAATCTATTTAATCTTATCAGGTACCTCTTTTGAAATAAGTTTTGAAAATAGTTTTGACATACCTGTATTAAGAAGTTGCTTTCATTTTCTTTCATGAAAAGTTCAATGTAAGACTTGATTTTACTTATCAAAAGATTGTAACTGAAGCTTTGGAGAAGGGGAACATATGGATCCTTGCTTTTAATTACAGTTGCCAGCTTCACCCTTAAAGGCTAAGAAAAGCACAGCCTTATACAACACAAAAATATATCCTGCAGTAAACACCTATGCTACTAAACAGGACATACACAAAGCTAAACATGATGATTATACAGTTTTCTGAATATGCCTATACAACTTCATGCTACAGTTTGAAAGGGTTCTAAAGTTAACTAGGCATAATACCAGGAGTTTATTTTACATGCTCATTAAATGGTTAAGTGTAACTTTCCAGAGATCCTCATTTTCATTCCCTTTATGAACAACACTGAAAGCAGGGTTGTCAATGGAGCAAAAAGACCCAAAAAAGGCCACTCATTACTGGGTTCTCTTTTCTCATTTGCTGCCTCAAAGAGACTGCCATTGAAAGGGGTTTACAGTGTTCAGGGAAAGGACTATTTAGTACAGTAGCATTAAAGACACATCGATACTGATAATCGCAACTTCACATTTTGTCTACCAACCACTCTGAATCTTACAGAGACCAATATAGCCAAGAATTAACTTCTGTGTACAGGTTGCATTCTTATTTATGAGTTTGAATACTATTACCACAGCCTACACTTTCCAAACATCTGAATCCTCTGAATGAAGAGTGTATCCGAAGAGCAAGTCATACACATGCTACTATTTACATAGAACATGTGTCCTAATATACCAGAGGAAGATAAAGGCAGCATTTTTGCCTTTTCTTTTTGCCTGCAGTCCTTCCTTTTGCTCTTTTCTCCGCCCCAGCAAATTCAGGTGTGTGCATTAGCTATTACTTTAAAGAGATATGCACTCGAACTTGCATGTTTCTGAATGATGCAGTCAACATCAAACCAGGAGATGGCCTGACCCACATGTGTTATCTTTTCCAGATAGAGGCATAATAATATCCACTCTATACTACAGATGCTAATGACTTTTCCTTCCCTGTGATGCTTCAGTATGTAGAACACTAATCAACAGAGATGATAAATAGAGTGCACTACAATGGTTCAGAAAAAAAATCAGCAGACTGATTATTAGGGAGTTACTATGTCTCTACCAGCATGTTTATACTGCCTTTACTCTGAGAAAACAGCAATACCAAGTCCCCAGAATCTGTAGTGATACCTCACTCCTCATATGAAGTGGGAAAGGGGATGAAGTTTGGACTGATGCTGCCCACAGCGAAGAAGAACTGCTGCTAGAAGCATTTTACTCCCCCAAATCACCCATTATTTCTGTCAATCCCCTAGCGACAAATCTCCTTTTGTATTTACAAGTGCCACGGTTGTGTAAGTGACTGTAGGCAGTAATTAGAATGAAGCTATGCAGGTAGCATTTGCTAGCTTTGGAAACCCATTCCCCTCTTCTCCTCTGAAAATGAGCGCGCTTAATGCAAGTTAAGCAAGTTACTACCTTATCTGATTCCGAGTCTGTAAATAACCTTTCAAGAACTTCAGCAGCCTCCTTGAAATATCCATTTTCCATATGGACTGCTACAATCTACAACAAATATAATTACAAGATATCCTGAAATACATTTCACCTGAGATTCAGAAAAAACAACAGAAGTCACACTTTTATAGTTTTGTAAGACTTCCAAAATCCAGAGGATTACATATTTAAGGGTTACCAACAATTATCTAGTTATAAGTTAGTTCTGAAGTAATATTAAACCTCATGTATAAAGGCCTAAAACCTCTCCAACAGGCATTTAAAAGGACCCTCACTGATGCAAAATGTCCCATACTTAACTACTAAGTATTGGTTTCGTCTTTCCCTGAAAGACTTTCGCAGTCCCAGTAGCTGTCAATATGTTTTTACATGTTTCTCCGAAATCAGAAGTTTTCTAATACAAAGAATTATTTTTAAGCAAAAAAACCCTATTCATAATATATTTTAAAGCTCAAGATACTAGTGTTTTGAAATTGATCTCCCAAATGATATCTTTTTTTTTCCCCAGATTGACAGCTTTTGAAACAATTTTGAACTGGGACAAACAGGAACCAATTTAGATTAGATAGATCTGTACAGGAGACGAGACCTTTTCCTATTTACTCTGTACTTGAAAATACAACAAACTTAGAAAATTCAGTTCAGCCTGCTAAAAGCCCAAGCTTTTTGTAAAAGGATCCCTGTTTTAGCAGAACAAATAGGTAGCATCCTGAGGCATTTTGAGTAAGTCACACACACCTGAATTTGAATCAAGCGACGAATATCTTCATGAAGCTTTTCCAGTTTAATTTCTTCCCTTTCAAGTAAAGTCCAGAAAGACAGAGCAGATTCCAAAGGTGAAATTCTTTGTTTTATTAAAAAAAGTGTTGTGGGGGGGGGGGGGGGGGATAATAAAAAAGGTATTTGAAAAGCTTAAGGATAAAGCTAAATATATTACATTATTTATACACAATAAAGTAATGTACTATACATAATTTCAATTCCTTTTTCCTCAAATAATTTTTAGTCTCTCTCTTCAGGTATGTTTAAGAGACCTGAAGTAAACGCCTTCTTTTCAGAGAGACTGGTTCTTCCTACCCTTGCTAATAACATTACTGTTGCATTTTTAAGGGAGATTATGTGTCTGCTAATTATTGATCACTTAAAATGTCACTTGCAATAGCGCTAAGTTTAGCATCATGTGTTTGGGCTGGCATTAATAATACTCTTACATTAAGCTTGGCATCAGATATCAAAACATTTGGTACTGATACTGTTAATTTTGTAATATAACCACTATCCTAAGTTTTTTTTCCTGAGTCTGTCTCTATATTTCCATGTCTTAACTTTTTGTTCTATTTGAAAGGGTTAAACTGCGAGGGAGATTCAAACAGCTTAACACAGGAGTGTCACTGAAAAAGCAGAAGCAACCTCCCATGTCATTGTACTGCTGTGCCAACACCAAGGTTTGTGCAAACTCCCAGCAAGCAGGATCAGTGACCAGTTCTGGCAGAAGTCTAGCCCAGCCAAACAGCCATCCCCTCAACACTCCAGAAACAGTCTCCCAGTCTGGTCATTGCACATCTGCACAAGCGAGTGTGCCAATGTAACAGATGCAGTAGGAGCTGGCAGGTGCACAAGTCTGCTTTTTTCCCCCATGGCACTGCCAGCTTAACTCAAGATGTTCACTGAACTACAGCCTCACTTATTCCTTCATTTTATATGACATCATAGCAGAATCTCTTTCAATAACTTATTCCTTACAGTAAGTATTTTTCAGACAGAAGGTAAACAACTTAAGCAATAGTGAAAAAATAAAAAATGTGATACCCACTACAGTAAAAGACAAACACTGAAAATTTAAATAGTATTATAGGTATATATACACACATAAAACCCCACTTCTGTGTTTCCCAAATTATTGTTTCAATGAGTAATATGACACTTCATATTAAGTTTATTTTAATATTGTAAAAACAGAGTTTAACTCTTAAAGAGCTGGCATCTGAAACAGCCTACTCTGTTTTAAGGCTCAGTAAAGATTAAATATTTTAATAATTGGAAAAGAATTAGGAAAGCTACCATACAATATATTAGCTTTCCTTGCACATTGTGCAATTACACCTGACACTTCATTTAAGTTTATTTTAATATTGTAAAAACAGAGTTTAACTCTTAAAGAGCTGGCAACCAGCCTACTCTGTTTTAAGGCTCAGTAAAGATTAAATATTTTAATAATTGGAAAAGAAAAGAGAAAGCTACCATACAATATATTAGCTTTCCTTGCACATTGTGCAATTACACCTGATGTAATACCTACTAAGCACGTGCAGTCTTCCTTCACCACACAGGTCACTCTCTACACTGATAGATAAAAACACCCATTGAAGTCATATTCCTCAAGTGTTATATACAATAACATAGGTTTAAAGCATTATCAGAAGAGTTTCATACTTTGTATACGACAAACTACTTTAAATATTAGAATTTAATTCTCAAGTTGAACTAAATCAAGAGTAGTGTTATTACCTGACAAGCAACATAAGAAATTTCATTTTATAAAAACAATCCTTTGTGGCACTGCTAGGCTAGAATACACTTTTTTTCTTCCATGCTCATGCTGACAAGACTGCTTCTGAAGTCCTTACATTCCAATGAGTTTTATCAAGCAGTAAAAACTTGCAGCAAAAAAGTTAAGTCTTCCAGAAACTTGAGCGTGGAAGCAAAATCAGCTTGGCTAAACCAGTAAGTTGTGAATAGGGCCAAACAGGAGACATGGTAGTGAATAAGAATCCCAAGGACCTGCTGCCAGCCGAAAGTCTTACAGCCTTCTGTAAGAAACAAGGGCAGTCATCCTTTTCATCCATATTCTTATTCCTACTGTCTGTCCTACTTTAACCTCTAGAGTTACATGTGCAGAAAGAAATGCGCATTCTGTGCTTTAAACTTGCAAATATTGCTCACTATGAACTAGTAAATCTTTTCCAGTATATTTCTTTTGTTGATGCTACTCTGACAGAAAGAGACCTATGATTTAAAGAACCATATAGTCATTCAAACTCAAAGCAGCTAAATCAGTCAGCACAGAATAACACTGGTCCTGCATACAGCTCAATCAGATGTGGAATACAGACAGTCCAAAATGTACAACTCAGTCATTTTATTTGTATATGTACAGTAAAGGCTATGTGAAAGCATACCTAATACACCTCTGTGCAAGTCCACGCAAATCTATTTAAACAAGTAAAAAAAAAAAGGAATCAGTATTTACCAAGGTTTTTTCCTTTTGCTATTCTTATCAAAAGCTGACAGAGATACACCGTTTTTTTCTGATGCGTAGGTATTTTGGAGAGGCCATTAATAAGAGCTGGAAAAGAAAAGTTAAGTCAGTCTTGCTCCAGCACTGCCACAGTGTAGGTAAAAATATACTAAACACTGTATTATCAGACTTTAATAATCAAATAAATTTCTAATTCATTAGGAAACTGATGAAGCACATTTAGTTAATATTCTTCCATGTTAAAAGAACTTAAACCATACTTAAAAATTTGACCAGAAAAACCTATCCCTCTTGCAGTTCATAACAGTAACCTAGAAGTGGTAAGATGCATCACAGGCTTACATTCATCAAATTAGAAGACCACAGTATGTTACATAAATAAATTAAGTTTTGTTTTGCTCAGTAGCTTACTACAAAAGATAACTGTCTGCTCCAGAGAACATTTCTGTGGAATGCCCACAAAACATGAGCCACATGCAGACTGGTAACACTTAGATGTTGCTATAGCAACCAACAGACCAAAAGCAGTAAAAGCTACAAGGAGAGCTTAGTCAGAAATGTAAATCTACAAGGGAAATACCCCTCGCAAAGTTGGAAGGTCACAAGGATTATTATATATTTTAGAATGGGAGCTATCATGAAATTATTTTCATCATGCTGGTTACTGTGAACTTCATATTTTAATGTGCTGGATGTAGTAATTAGTCTTCACAGCATAATACAGAAACATTCAAAATGAAAAGTGAAGAATGTGTGAAGTGACTTGTCTAAGCTGTAGACAGAACACCCTAGTTCAGGAAGTGTTTATGTACACATTTTGGTGTCAGCTTAGCAAAAGCCAGGATTCTGGAGCATGGGACCCCCACGTTTTGCCATGATACAACTAGAGCACATAACACATTGTTTTACTTGTAAGTACTCAGCCTACTTGCTTATTAGTGTATGATCGCCTCCCATGAACAATGGATAAGCATGAAATTACAAAGTAATTAAATAGCCCTGAATGATTACCTAACCTAACATCAAGCAGAACATTGTCGTTTGGGCTTGGAAGAACATATTTACAACTGCTTCAGTGAGGACAGGTGATACAAGAGCTTTTAATTGCTATAGCCAAAAGAGGAAGTAAAAAAAAAAAAAAAAGAACATTGCTTAGAACAGCAGTAAAGTGCCACTCATTATAATCAAATTCATGCATCTTCCATAGCAGACAGAGTTAAATTTCAGAAAGAGTTCAAATTCAGAAAGAATTTCAGTTCAGTGATAGAGATAAGCACCATCATCATGCCCTGAAGATGGAGCCAGAGCTTGGAAATTTTGGAAGTAGGCAGAATACTGTAGCTGAACGATTCCACAGAACAAAAGAGGTCATCTTGGCAAGTAGCTTGAGATCTTTCAGCTTTCTCTGTTCTTTTAAGGTGCACCTACATTAGTGCTTTAATTCAGAGTAGGGGTGCATTTTTAAAGCAAATTTCCTGTGCTTGGTTTGTACAATAGAGCAGTCTTGAGTACACAAATTGAATTCCTTTAGAGCTATTCCAAAGAAAAAGAAACCTTGAAATGTTTACTGTGTGGACACCAGGTCCTTAGCAGCAATTACGCACAAGTAATGCAGACAAACAGGAAGAGACATAGCCTTAGTAATCTTTTCTAGACTGTTCTCCCTCCCCACCCTCAAGGCAGTTTCTCTGTTGATTCGTTTGTTAATAGTGCCCTCAATCATAAATTGCTTTCCTCCCTATGGCCACTCATATGTATTTCTCATCTTAGCCTTTCATTAGAAATTCTAGAAATCCAGTTCCTTGCCATGTAGACACCTACACAAGCTAGTTCAGGTATATAGACCATAATATCCCATCAAGGCAGGATAAGGTAGGCAAGGCATGTAACCTTGCCATGCTGTCTTTAAATCCTTAATCCCAGGTAACCTAGCTATTTCTACTTGGCACTGTACTGAGCTATACAGAAATATTATTTATCTCCTAACAAAATAATTTGTCTTGGTCCCTTAGCCTTCCTACCTTTCTGCACTTGCTTCAGTTTGAATTGACCTTCTTGCTGACAGCCAGCTATCATTATTTCAGTAGGGACTCACTTTGACATATGCAAGAGTAATAGTTCTGTATTTCTATGAAAAAACCACACCCACTTTTCTAATGCAAACTTATGACTGTGCTTAGCTTCTTCCATAGAATTCTACACTTCTTACTTTGTAATCTTATAGCACCAATATGCCCAACTGTTTCCTCTGTTGCTGAACAGAGCAGGAATTCCAAATTTGCTTAGTTCCCAGCTCCATGTGACCTTGCATTCTGTACAATTTAATTAATTGTTTCTTCCTGTTCTTCTCAGAAGATATTCCAATCTGCTTGTGTTGACAGTGTCTCTGCTTCCCACCTACATCTTCATGAAATTTCAGTATGATTCTCCCACTGAGCCACAGTCCCAAGGCCAAACACAGAGAAGCACCGTTAATAATTTAATCTAGCGGCCCCCCATTCAACATACTTCATTATGTTATCTTTAGATTTCTTACCTCTTACAATTTCTCACATCAGGCTCCTTACTAATCATTCTGCATGCCATTGTAGTCCATTCTTTGCAAAAGTTTAAACGAGTCATACTATCACATTTACTTGAGTCAAGAACACACACACACACAAAAAAAATCTCCAAAAGCTCTAACCTGGTGTCTTCAGGAAAATTATTTCTAACAGAAAAAACATCGTAAATCCATCAAATTTATCTGAGACCTAGACATTTGCTTCCAGCTGTTAACTACTCTAAGTATCTCCCATATTAAACACATGTTCTTCCATTCAAAATCCAGTCACCAGACTTCATTCCACCTTTGCCTGCTAGACTATAGATCCTTGAAATACTTCTAGTCTTCAACCATAACCCTGAATATAAACTCAAGAAACTCAGTGTATTTAAGTAATTCTACGCTTGTTTTTACCACGTTTGCATCTCTTCACTAAATCCTCTTCAAGTTTTCTTGAAGTTCAAGTGCCTTGAACTCTCAGCACCTGAGGCCTCAGCTTCAGTAACTGCTGGTGGCATATAGGCAACCATATTATACATTCAAGCTTCATAGAATCAAGATGACAGATTAACACCAATGCTGGTATTCCCCAATCACCTAAAAGACCTCACCCCAACCCCTCAGTAACCACTGTTTTATTGTAACAGTTCAGTTTGCTTCCCTCCCTGATCTCATTTAACTAAACCAGCAAAATTCCCCAAACCCGTGATTATCTTACAATACTCCAGCAGAGCTGCCATTGCATGCCAAACTCAAACACCCCTGGACTAATAAAAAAAAATAAAAAAATAAAAAATCAGCTTGCACTGTTTTATTTCCACCATGTGCAAACGTTGCTGATACTGTTAAATCACCTCAACAGACTACCCTGTATCATTCTAGGAATCTTCTGAAGTCCTCAAAAGCCCTGAAAACCTCCTCAACACTAGTGACCACGATCATTAGAAGGCTAAATACACGTATAAAACGTGCTTACACGAACAGTAAGTGCAGAAGCACTTCTAATGTGCTAACCACTCTTCAGTGTGCTAAAGAAAGCTGCCCCTCACACTCTGCAGGAACACGCTGCCTTCAGAGTAGCCGCAGCTGTTTGAGAACCACAAGCGCCCGCACCCTCAGAACCCCGACGGCCGCCGCCGCCCCCCAC